GCGGGGAGGGCCCTCTGCCCCCGCCGCGTGGGAAAGCGGGGGAGGAAAGGGCCCTCCCCCCCCCCGCCCCCCCCCCCCCGAAAGAAAGTAGAGGTGGAAACGGAGTGGGTAGGATGATAACATTTGCTGCATCTAATGCGAATTACAATTATGGAACAAAATCGCTGTGAGGAGACATGCCCGGCCCGTTCTTAAGACAACACAGCTATTTATGTTATCTCCAGCTTTCTGGTTAGGTGAAATTGCTCCTCTGCTTAGGTAACAGCTGCAGTCTGACGAAAAAGACCCTCTAATGTTATGCACTTGTGCAAAACAGATTCTGCTAACTAAGAACTCCTACTTATTCTACATTTCATAATGTAATTTGGAATGATAATGAACATCCCCAAACAAGGTGACATCTCTTTCCCAAGGCGGAAGAGTCAGTTAACCAAATGAAATCTTGCAAGGGGAGTTCCACTGTTTGTCCTTTAGTATGAACGTTAATGTAATTCAGTTAGAAAGCTGTTTATGTATTGCACACATACCAGTTGTGAGTGGTAGTTCTGGGCAGTAAACATCAGGGAAGGGAAATCAGCAACTGCTTTCTTCATTTACAGAAATGAAATAAGTAGCTTGCTCTGAAGGCTGACTGCATCTAATTGAAATAATTGCAGAATGTTATTTTGCATTATGCGGATAGACTGATACCTGAAAACAAATGCAGCTGAGACATCAATAATTTGCATATCACAACAGATCTGAAAATGATCTGTGCTTAATATTCAACCAATTAAAAACCGAAGTCTTTAAAATGTAAACTCCCTTAATTATTGAACCATTAACAAAGTACTATTCTCATAAAAGGGAATCAAAAAATCAAACAACAAACAAAACAAAAGAGCACATTTCAACTTAATAAACCATGGAATGAGTAAGTGTCTAGGAGAACTGTATTTCACCATATCTAAATAATTTTTGATTATAAATGGCTATTGACAGTGACATAAGTTTATGATGTTGTAGGACTTATCTCAGAATGAAATTTAGTTATGCTATATAATTTCATTGTTGGGGTTTGAATACACTGTATTTTTATATTTATTTCTAATTTGCAATTACAAAAAAAACCTCTTCCTCTAAATCTTATTTAAGTGGTTTCTAAGCTAGTCATCCTAATCTACAACATGTCAAATCTCCTGAGAATTAGCCTAATGTATATCTCCATTCAGCCTGAAAAATACAACAAACCAAAGATAATTTGGCAATTAAAACTTAAGCACAAGCTCAAAGTCAAGATTGACATCTAAGACAACAACGTGCTTAGGGAATAATTTGCTTTAACGGGTTGTATCCTAGCCTCACTGGACTGTACTTCCCGTTTGAGGTCTAAGTCAAATTTCCATCATCATCAGTAGAAATTCTCTGCGTAGACTGATGGTAGATAGTGACTGGAAGATAGCGGAGACAGACAGGGCAGCATGGATTATCTGGTCTGGTTCCCTGAAGTCTACAAGATTATTCAGGCTACACACTATGTCCATTATTGTCATCTCTAACCTTTTCTTAAACATCTTGCCGTGACACAAGCTCACTCATCCCTCTTGATGATTTTTTTTTTTATCTGTTGTTTGCCAAAGGAGCATGTGTTTTTCTTTCAGTTAAGAAAAAGGAGAGCAAAAACTAACACACAGATAGGTTACTAACATAATTTTTGCAAAGAGAAATATCTGAAGAAATGATAGAAATGTGAGACACATTACTCTCCACCCAAGGAGACATACACACACAGGGCGGCATTCAATACCGCTACAAGTAGCTTACAAATAGATGCACCTAAACAGAAGCTCATGGGATAGCAAGGTAATTCTTTGTACTAAAATTCACCTTGCAATCTACTCCAAAATTACATATAAGCCTAATTATGTTTTGTTTCCTTTCACATTTTTGACCTTTCCTAAGCAACACTTTATATACAGACATGCTCAGTCATCTGCCTCTCCAAATTTACTTCTGGGACTAAAGCCGTGCTTTCAAAGTCTGTCAGGAGAAAATTTTTTCCCTGCCACAGCTTCATCAAAATGCAGAGGCCAGCAGAGATGCTGAGTCGCCTACTCACAGCAAGAAGCCTTGGTGAGCGCGCACACGCACACGCACACGCACACGCACCCACCCACCCAGCTTCAGCTGAAGTTCAGGGGAGTTCTGTGCACTAAGGATTTTTTTTTATTTCCCTCCAGGGTAAGTTTCTGAGAGAGAAACAACCTGATGGGAAATATGAGCTAAACATCCTGCTTGTTCTTGGGGATTCCCAAGTGCATTTCCAGATGCAGTCACCTCAGGTGTGCTTTGGTAAGACTGTCTGAACTCAGGCTACATGGGTATAGGGCTTTCTTCTTTCATACAGCTGCTAGCGGCCTACATTCATGCTACCTCTGGGCATAGAGGTATCTCTTTACAGGCACTCAGTCACGCTTCTCGGCTCTCTCTTTTCCTTCTGCTTTGCTGTCATCCTGAAAATGACATCCAGGTAAGCCCTTGCTCATTTGAACCCACCAGGGATACTGATGGCTCACACATGTTTGACCCTTGAAATCAGAAGGCAAAAGAAATTGCAATTGCCATGACCGGCTGAGGAGCACGCTATCCTTGTTCCTGCGCTGACACACATCCCAGCGCTTGTTATGAGCAAACCCCGTGTATCCAGCTGCCACAACGACACCTGGCAGAGAAGCAGTGCGCACACAGAGGTGTTTGGGTTGTTCTCTTTGGAAATAGTCAGGCTAGCATACAAAAAGTCTCCAGAAATTAATAGGAATCTCTGTGGATCAGGCTCTACTTTATTATATTAGCATCACATGCTATGCCTTCCTTTTCCTAAAAGAACCAAAGGCAATGCTGTGGTCCTTCACACAGGACCAGGGTGGAGGAGGCACCATCTCATCTGAACACAGGGGAAACTAGGTGACAATCTTTGAAAAGGCAAGCACAGGTTGATGCGGGCTCTCTCTGCTTCTAGAGTTCCTGTGGTTAAACAATTTATGTTTAACAAGTCTACAACATCTCTCTGCTCCCGGATAAATCAGTAACAACTGCCATATTCAGCAAACAACAACCGACAAAGCAAAATACAGCAATGACTGTATAGCACTGCCTTGTAATAGGGCTTCAACTGACAGGACATAGCCTTTTGAGGAGAAAAAAAAGTCAGTAACTCTACCCATTGTCCCCATCTTCTATGTATTTAGCCAGACTGTCTATCAGAAGAGGGGGAGGGAGAGCATTTTTGAAAAGTGTGCAGGTACTAGAGTGAGTCTCTGCATGTGCATCCTTTTAAAGGTACAGTGTGATAAGAAACTGTGAGTTTGTAATACACTGAAGACAGAACCAGTGTGAAAGAGTACTGTGCTAAATAAAGTGGAAGAAATGCTGTCAAATATATGTCTCTGCGTGGCTCCATATTATTTCTACCTATCTTACTCCATTTTATCCAGAGGCTCTCTTCA